GGGAAAGGGACTTGGGAGGACGGGTGGAAAGGGAGGGATAAGGGTGGGAAGAAAAGAAAGGGGGCACTACGATTAGCATGTATAGTGTTGGGGGGCATGGGGAGGGCTGTGCAACACCGGGAAGACAAGTAGTGATTTTACAGCATCTTACTATATTGAAGAACAGTGACTGTGAACTTGGTGACAAGTAGTGATTTTATAGCATCTTACTATGGACAGTGACTGTGAATGGAGATGTGGGGGGGACTTGGTGAAGGGGGAAGCCTAGTAAACATAATGTCCTTCATGTAATTGTAGATTAATGATACCAAAATAAAATAAATTAAAAAAATAGGGTGGGAGAATGGATAAAGAAAAAAGACCCATATATATGCTGCCTACAGGAACTCATTTAGGCCTAAACACATACAGAGACTGAAAGTGGAGGAAATGGAAAAAGACATTTCATGCAAATAATAGGGAGAAAAAAAACAGGAATAGCAGTACATATATCAAACAAAATATACTTCAAAACAAAGAAAGTAACAAGAGACAAAGAAGGATATTACATAATGATAAAGGAGTCAGTCCAACAAGAGGATATAAAAATTATAAATATCTATGGATCCAACATAGGAGCACCTAAATTTGTAAAAGCAAACATTAACAGACTAAAAGGAAAAATAGACAGCAATTCAATCATATTAGAGGATTTTACTGCCCAACATACATCAATGGACAGAACATCCAGACAGAAAGTAAATAAGGAAACAGAGGTGTTGAATAACACATTAGACGAGATGGACTTAACACATATATACAGAACATTCCACCCAAAAGCAGCAGGATACACATTTTTTCCAAGTGTACATGGAATACTCTCCAGAAGAGATCACATGTTAGGACACAAAAAAGAGCCTCAATAAATTCAAAAGAATTGAAATTGTATCAAGCATCTTTCCAGATCATAATATGAAACTAGAAATCAATTACGTGATGAATACCAAAAAAAAAAAGGAGTCTAAATAGCATGCTTCTACATAATCAATGGCTCAGTGAACAAATCTAAGAGGAAATCAAACAATAGATGGAGACATGAAAACAGAAATACAACAGTTCAAAATAGGTGGGATGCAGTAACAGCAGTTCAAAGATGGAAATGCATAGCAATATAAGCCTACTTTAAGAAACAAGAAAAATCTAAACTCATAACTAATGGAATTACAAAAAGAAGAGCAAATAAAACCCAAAGTTAGCAGAAGAGACATAATAATGATCAGAGCAGACAAAAATAGAGAATAAGAAGAAACTAGAAAAAAAATCAATGAAATCAATGTCTAATTCTTTAAGAAGATAAACAAAATAGACAAATCCCAAGCTAGGCTTATCAAGAAAAAAAGGAACAGGACATGCAAAAAATAAAAAAATCAGAACCAAAAATGCAGAAGTTACAACTGACACCATGGAGATACAAAGATTTATTAGAGAATTTTATGAAAAATGATATGTCAATAAATGAGACAACCTAGAAGAAATGGAAAAATTCCTAGAAACATACAGTCTACTAAGACTGACAAGGAAGAAACAAAGTCTGAACAAATTATGAGAAACAAAATTGAATTGACAATTACAGAACTCCAAACAAACAAAAGTCAGAGCCAGATGGCTTCCTAGCTTAATTCTAGCAAACATTTAAGAAGAGCTAACATCCATCCTTCTTAAAGCACTCCAAAATACAGAAGATGAGGGACTACTTCCAAACTCATTCTATGAGGCTAGCATCACTCTAATACCTAAATCCGACAAAGAACATACAAAAAAAATTATAGATGAATATCCTTGATGGACATAGATGCAAAAATGCTGAACAAAATATTAGCAAACCAAATTCAAAAATACATCAAAAGAATCAGCCATTGTGACCAAGTGGGATTTATCCCCAGTATGCAAGGATGGTACAATGTTTGTAAATCAAGCATTGCAATATAGCACATTAATGAAAGGAAGGCTACAACCATATGATCATCTCCATAGATGCTGAAAAAGCATGTGACAAAATTCAATATCCATTTATGATTAAAACTCTCAACAATATGGGTGTAGACACAACGTACCTCAACATAATAATGGCCATATACAACAAACCCACAGCTAGTGCCCACTTTCACCATTTTTATTCAACATACTACTGGAAATCCTAGCCATGACAATCAGACAAGAAAAAAGAAAAAGAAAAAAGGCATCCAAATTACTAAGGAAGAAGTAAAATTGTCACTGTTTGCAGTTGACATGATGCTATATATAGAAAACCCTAATGACTACACCAGAAAACTATTAGAACCACTAGCTGGATTAAGCCAAGTTGCCGGATACAAAATCAATAATATACAGAAATCTGTAGCATTCATATATGCTAACAATGAACTAGCAGAAAGATAAATCAGGAAACCAATTTCATGTACAATTGCATCAGAAAGAATAAAATACCTAGCAATAAACCTAACCAAAGAGGTGAAATACCTGTACTCTGAAAACTATAAGATATTCATGAAAGTAACTGAAGAAGACACAAATAAATGAAATCTATACCATTTCATGCATAGGAAAAAATAATATTGCCAAAATGGCTATCCTACCCAAAGCAATTTAGAAATATAAAGCAATCCCTATCAAAATACCAACACCATTTTTCAATGAACTAAATCAAATAATCCTAAAATTTAAATGGAACCACAAAAGACTCTTAATACCCAAAGCAATCTTGAGAAACAAGAACAAGGCTGGGGGTGTCATGCTCCCTGACATCAAGCTATACTGCAAAGCTACAGTATTCAAAACAGTATGGCACTGGCACAAAACAGACCCATAGATCAAAAGAAAACAACAGAGAGCCCAGAAATGAAATCACACATATATGATAAATTAATATATGACAGAGGAGCCATGAGCACACAATGAGGAAAAGGTAGTCTCTTCAACAACTGGTGGACAGCTACATGCAAGAGAATGAAACTAAATTACTGTCTAACTCTATACACAAAAGTAAACTTGAAATGGATTAAATACCTAAATATAAATCACAAAACCATAAAACTCTTAGAACAGAGGCAAAAATCTCTTGAACATAAACATGAGTAATTTTTTTCTGGACATGTCTCCCCAAGCAAGGGAAATAAAAAGAAAATTAAAGTGTGGGTCTACATCAAATTAAAAAGCTTCCACACACCATCAACAAAACAAAAAGGCAACCTACATTATGGGAGAATATTTTTGTATATGATATATCTCATAAAGAGTTAACATTCAAAATATATAAAGAAGACATGTATCTCAACACCAAAAAACAAATAATCTGATTAAAAAATAGCCGGAGGACCTAAACAGATACTTTTCCAAAGAAGACATACAGATAGCTAACAAGCACCTGAAAAGATGCTCCACATTACTAATCAAAAGGGAAATGCAGATCAAAACTACAATGAGATACCACCTTACACTTCACTTATATGTGAAATCTAAAAACAAAACAAAACAGAATGAACAAAATAGCAGTAGAATCATAGACACTGAGAAGCGATTGGTAGTTACCATGATGGAGGGGTTAGGGTGGGTGAGTGAAGTAGATGAAGGGGTCAAAGAGACACAAAATCTCAATCATAATACAAATTAGTCAAAGTACAACATAGAGAATATAGTCAATAGTTCTATAACATCTTTCTATGTTGACAAATATTAACTATACTAGTTGTGAGGATGTAATGTGTATAACTGCTGAGTCACTATGTTGCATACTTTAAGCCAATATCATATTGTATATCACCTATACTTCAAGAAAAAATATCAAAAAATAATAGTACTTAAGATTAAATTAAGTAATAAAATGATGAACTTAGGCCAATATGACTGGCATCCCTATAAAAAAAGAATATTTAGAGAAAGACATGGAAACAAAAAACATGGCATGTGAAGATGAAAGCAGAGATCAGGATGATGCTTCTACAAACTAGGAGAAACGTGGAATGGATTCTTCCTCAAAGCCCTTAGAAGGAACGAACCCTGCCAACACTTTGATCTCATACTTCCATCCTCTAGAACCATGGGACAATAAATTTCCACTGTTTAAGCCACTCAGTTTTTGGTTCTTTGTTAGGGCAACCCTCACAAACTAAAACAACATGGAATAAACAAAGAACACAACTTTGCATATAGAAGTTTTCAATTGTTGGTATAAACAACCAATGTTCTTATGGTTCAGAGAACTGTCATAATAACTGACACTGACATGTCCCTTCAAGCATAGACATATACACACACACACACACACACACACACACATATGCATGCACATTATTCCAAACCAAAAGTAATTAATCATTATTTATAAAATAAAATTATGTTTATCTTTCTCATTACTTTCAACATATTCTGAGTACCTACTATGTGCCATTCAGAGTATGAGGCCCCCAGCATAAAGAAGTTAACAAGATCCAACCTCTACTGGATGGGAATTTATAATCAACTCCAGATCTCCCCTCCAGAATACCCACAGAATTTGTTGACTGTGATGCAGTATTACTTTTGCTGTTTTGTTCATGTTCAATTGTTTCTGTTCTCTGATTATTTCTTTACAGGGAAGAATCCTCTCACAAAGACTACATTCTGTGAGCATGCCATACAGAGCTAGGTACATAGTATACATTCAATGTATAATGATTTACACTATAGTCAAATATGAAAGGAATAATATCTTGAAAAGTATTTAATAAAATATAAGGAACTATAGAAATATTCATTAGCATTACCATTAAAATTCTAATCATTTATAGCCACAAAAATGTAGCATTTAATTATTTAGTATTCCCAAGTTAACCTTCAAAATGTATTTTTCCCTGGTAACTTATTCCATTATGATGAAATAGTAAATGGGATGAATCACAGTTAATGCTCAGGTGGAACTGGATTCTTAAAAAACCTAATCTTCACCAGACAAGCTCAAAAGCAAAGGTCTTTAATATACTCACCACTTTCAAAGCAAGCATCAAAGATAAGATGTCCTTTCTTGGGCTGTCCACAGTATCCAGCTGGAAGCACCATATATTTGCTCATATTCCCTCCGATGGCATCATCATTTCCCATATCATTGCCTATTTTTTAAAAGATTTGCTCATGTTAAACAGAAAGGAAAAGTAATACAAGTCCAATAATACTTTTATCATTAATTTTTTCCTTCTCCTGTCAGTGCTTATTCAGACAGTTAAGAAATTAACTACATATTCTTGCAGGGTAGAGAGTTGACACATTTCTATATACTAATTTTCTATGACTGAAAGCAATCAGCTTAATCCCTTTAGCCTCAGTTTCTCTCATCCATAAAAAAGGAATGGTAAAACCCACCTTTCAAAATTTTGTTATGAAAAGTTTCCAATATGGCTACTGAAATCAAAAAGATATTCATTTAACTGCATCAAATATTTAATAAGTGATAATATATGTTACTTGTCACAAAAATTTTGTCAATTATTTAATTTGAATAAAGCAATAGTTCTTTAACATTAACCTTTCTAATGTTCCATCATCACAAATACCACTGAGAACCACTGAATTAGCATAGAATTTACATTTCCTAAGAGGAACTTTGAGCTTTGGAAGTTTCACTTCCACCTAGAAAGTTGGAAAGATCATCACCTCCACCTTAACAAGAAATATCCCAATAAAGAACAAAGTTATAACTTTTAAAAATTCATCAGAAAACTGAGATTACAGGGCAACCAATAATCTGATATCCAAGGAAAGTCAGGCCCCACCAAAAAAAAATGTGAAGCAAGCATCGACTCCTCTTTGGCCAAGCACAGAAGAAAGAAGTTCTGGGTGCCATACAAGTGAATAAAAAGAATTAAACTATATATTTTTTAATTATTAAAGGTCAAATGTCAGAATCGAGAGAGTAGAACCCCTGATAGTCATAAGAACAAAGGGAATGCAAACCCACCAGCAGTCTTCTATATAGGCCTCCATTGGGTGTTTAGGAGAAAGAACAGAAGCAGGGCAGAAGACTAGAAAATACCTTTCTTTGTGATGCAGACCTGGAGAATGGGTGTGCCCTCTTTTATAGACAAGGCATAAAAAACCCACCAATACTTTGGGCAAGGGAAATAAAATAAAAAATGAACAAATGGGACTACATCATGCTCAAAAGCTTCTGTACAGCAAAGGACACCATCAGCAGAACAAAAAGGCATCCTACAGTATGGAATAAAATATTTGTAAATGACATATCTGACAAGGGGTTAACATTCAAAATATATAAAGAACTCACATGCCTCAAAACCCAAAAAGCAAATAACCCTATTAAAAAGTAGGCAGAGGATATGAACAGACACTTCTGCAAAGAAGAAATTCAGATGGCCAACAGGCACTTTGAAAAAATGCTCCACATCACTAATTATCAGGGAAATGCAAATAAAAACCACAATGAGATATCACCTCACACTGGTTAGGATGGTCAGCATAGAAAAGACTAGGAACAATAAATGCTAGTGAGGATGCAGAGAAAGGAGAACCCTCCTACACTGCTGGTGGGAATGTAAACTAATTCAACCATTGTGGAAAGCAATATGGGGGTTCCTCAAAAAACTCAAAATAGAAATACTATTTGACCTGGGAACTCCACTCCTAGGAACTTGCCCAAAGAAAACAGCTTCTCAGATTCAAAAAGACATATGCACCCCTATGTTTATCACAGCACTATTTACAATAGCCAAGATATGGGAGCAACCTAAGTGTCCATCAGTAGATGAATGTATAAAGAAGATGTGGTTGGGAACAAGACAAGGATGCCCACTTTCCCCACTTCTATTAAACATAGTACTGGAGGTCCTAGCCACAGCAATCAGACAACACAAAGAAATAAAAGGCATCCAGATTGGCAAGGAAGAAGTCAAACTGTCCTTGTTTGCAGATAACATGATATTGTACATAAAAAACCCTGAAGAATCCACTCCAAAACTGTTAGATCTAATATCTGAATTCAGCAAAGTTTCAGGATACAAAACTAATACACAGAAATCTGTGGCATTCCTATACACTAACAATGAACTAGCAGAGAGAAAAATCAGGAAAACAATTCCATTCACAATTGCACCAAAAAAAATAAAATACCAAGGAATAAACCTAACTAAGGAAGTGAAAGATCCATACCCTGAAAACTACAAGACACTCATGAGAAATGAAAGAAGATACCAATAAATCAAAACACATCCTATGTTCATGGATAGGAAGAATTAATATTATCAAAATAGCCATCCTGCCTAAAGCAGTCTACAGATTCAATGCAATTCCTATCCAAATACCAACAGCATTCTTCAATGAACTAGAGAAAATCATGCTAAAATTCATATGGCACCACGAAAGACCCTGAATAGCCAAACCAATCCTGAGAAGGAAGAATAAAGCAGGAGGAATTATGCTCCCAACTTCAAGCTCTACTACAAAGTCACAGTAATCAAGACAATTTGGTACTGGCCCAAGAACAGACCCATAGACCAATGGAACAGACTAGAGAGCCCAGATATAAACCCAACCATATATGGTCAATTAATAAATGATAAAGGAACCATGAATATTCAATGGATAAATGACAGCCTCTTCAACAGCTGGTGTTTCAGCAAAACTGGAAAGCTACATACAAGAGAATGAAACTGGACTATTGTTTAACCCCATACACAAAAGTAAACTCGAAATGGATTAAAGAATGTAAGTCATGAAACCATAAAACTCTTAGAAGACAACACAGGCAAACATCTCCTGAATATAAGCATAAGCAACTTCTTCCTGAATGCTATCTCCTTGGGCAAAGGAAACAAAAGCAAAAATGAACTCATGGACTATGTCAAACTAAAACGTTTCTGTACAGCCAAAGACATCATCAACAGAACAAAAAGGCATCCTACAGTATTGAAGGATATATTTGTAAATGACATATCTGACCAGGGGTTAACATCCAAAATATGTAAAGAATCTACATGCTTCAACACCCAAAAAGCAAATAACACAATTAACAAATGGGCAGAGGTTATGAAGAGACAATTATCCAAAGAAGAAATTCAGATGGCCAACAGACACATGAAAAGATGCTCCACATCACTAATCATCAGGGAAATGCAAATTAAAACCATAATGAGATATCACCTCACACCAGTAAGGATGGCCAGCATCGAAAAAGACTAAGAACAACAAATGCTGGTGAGGATGTAGAGAAAGGGGAACCCTCCTACACTGCTGGTAGGAATGTAAACTAGTTCAACCATTGTGGAAAGCAATATGGAGGTTCCTCAAAAAACTAAAAGTAGAAATATGATTTGACCCGGGAATCACACTCCTAGGAATTTACCCAAAGAATACAACTTCTCACATTCAAAAAGACATATGTACCCCTATGTTTATCACAGCACTGTTTACAATAGCCAAGATATGGATGCAACCTAAGTGTCCATCAGTAGATGAATGTATAAAGAAGATGTGGTACATATACACAATGGAATACTATTCAGCCATAAGAAAGAAACAAATCCTACCATTTGCAACAACATGGATGGAGCTGGAGGACATTATGCTCAGTGAAATAAGTCAGGCAGAGAAGGACAAATACCAAATGATTTCTGTCATTTGTGGAGTGTAACAACAAAGCAAAACTGAAGGAACAAAATAGCAGTAGACTCACAAACTCCAAGAAGGGACTAGTGTTTACCAAAGGGGAGGGGTGGGGGAGAGTGGGTAGGGAGGAAGGGAGAAGGGGATTGTGGAGTATCAGAATTGGTGCACATGGTGTGTATGGGGTCACGGGGAAGACAGTGTAGCTCAGAGAAAACAAATAGGGACTCTGTGGTGTCTTACTACATTGATGGACAGTGACATTGCAATGGGGTATGGGAGGGACTTGATAATAAGAGTAAATGTAATAACCACATTGTTTTTCTTGTGAAACCTTCATAATAGTGATTTTAATGATACCTTAATAAAAAAAATAGCTGATAACAGAATAGATGGGGGAAAAAAACAAAAACACCAATATGGTTTTCCCTTTTAGAAAAAAAGGTCTTAAGCCACTAGGGGAGGAAAAGCAAACCTTGTAATCCCAGTGCACAAGTGAAACCCACTGCAGAAGGAAGAGTATAAAAGAAAAAAATCCTCTATCTCTGAGAGAGGAGCAGAAAACTGTCTTACAAAGGACCCATCAAAGGTTCAAGGCAGAGTTGAAAGAGGAAGGAGAGGTGGGATCACCGAAAAAACTTAATTCCAAGACCAGAGCATATAGGCCCTGCCTAAGTCTGACGCTAGAGCAGAACAACAGAAATACTCCTGCTCCCTCAAAGTCAAGAAAGCCAGCACTGAATGATGAACTATCACAATCTATGTCTAGAGTAGGTACAAAAAGCATGCAAATGAACTCCTTCTTGGTAGAAGCAGAGGACAAAAGTTTAATGTGGAGCAGAACATTGAGGAAAAACCCCTAAGCACCCTAGATCTTTGTCTCAGAAATAAAGTGACAGAAGAATTTGAAGCCTGTGGGAAACTGAATGTAACCACAGCAACAATGACACTAAGCCTAGCTTAACTCCTGACTTGATTGACATAAACTATCACACAAACAACCTAGGAGAAGTGTATCCATTTCCAGTGACAAACAGTATTTATATCATTCTCTACTGTTCTAATAGATAGCCAGTATGCAATAAAAAATTATGGGAAATATAAAAACTCAAAAAATAAAATAACCTACTGTCTAGGGAGAAAGCAATAAACAGAATTACATCCAGAAATGACAACATATTGGAGTTATAGACAATGAATTTCTCACATTCTCTCTGATGGCATCATCATTTCCCATATCACTGCCCATTTTTTTTAATTTGCTTATGCTAAGCAGAAAACAAAATGTATTTAGTAATAGAAGTCTAATAAAAATATTATTACCATTAATTTTCCCCCTTCTCCTGTCATTTAATGCTTATTCAGGCAGAGATAAAGATAAAATAACCAAGTTTAGTATGTTAAAGCTTCTGGTGGAAATTTTAGAACCAGTGAAGATATCCTTCAAAAACTAAGGTAATAATAAAGGTGTTTTTAGAAAAACAAAGCTGGGAGA